TGCGAAACATCAAAAAAAGCGGAAAAACCTTCACCTCGTCGCTTTTGACACGCAAATTTATAACGGCAACGGTGGCAACAAAAACTTGCTGTGGCCAAAACACACAATCCAAAAACCTTCTACCCTCAAACAAAATGGAGAAGCACAAATTTCGAACGCATACAAATGCAATTTAAATTTACTTATTTAGAACCCCCTGGGAATTTCAAATTATTTGCCTTTTCACGCAAATTTAGCGACCATTTTTCTCACAGAAATAAAACTCAGACAGGTGGGCCTTCGTCGGCCGGGAGTTTTCATAGTTGGGGGGATTTTCAAAACCCCCGAATCCCCCGAATTCAACAACTGACATGTGTACACGGCTGATTCTTGGGCGCAACTTTTTCCAACTCTGTGTTTTTTTTCTATGGGGGCGATTAGAAAATGCTCTACCCCGCCGAAGAAAGTAACCCAAAAGTCTCTGACAAATGCTCTTTGGCCAGCATGTTGTTGCTTCTGTGGTGATTAATGACGGCGAAAGCTGAGTAGGAGCAGGATCTGCGCTGTGGGGATGCCGTGGCAGCTTAATTTAAAATGAAAATTGTACTTAATTTCTAGCTGAAGGGGGCGACTTTCGACGGGAGTTTCTAGACTGATTATGCTCTTCATGGTTTTGCTTTGTGCCCTATAGGGAAAGCCATCCCAATGTCAGTTCTTGTTCATTAGAAATAAGCTTTAACAAATATTACACTTTGGCTTGTTTAATGGTTCCGGAAAGTTGTTACAAAAAAATATACATGAATTTTGAGAACTTAATTTAGCGTTCATGAAAATTTAGAATTCAAAAACTTCGCACTTACTTTTTTTTTAATTTAGTAATAAGAAATATGTATATATACTTAAAAATTCAAACATTTCCTAAATAAAAACCTTTTCATTTTCATGAAAATAATTTAGATTTAAAAAAAAAAAATGTTGAGCTAAAAAAACGGTCATCGAACAAAATACTGTTTAGATACTGTGCTCCGAATAAATTTCACAAATAAAGAAAAATATCTTTAGCTATGCTTGGGATTTAAAAGAACCAAACCATAGCTAAAAATATTTTACTTTAAGCCTCATCCATACAATTAGGACATTTAATCATTACATGTCAAACAGATGTGATTCCCACCTGTAAACATTTGTAGAATGCTTTTATTATACGGTCTCCTTCAAAATCATTTGTTTTGATAAAGTTTTCAGATTAAATTTCCTGGTTTTTCCTTGGTCCCATCACTTCTTGCATGTGTAACGCCAGAGTTTAACACCCAAGTCGACTGTCCCCACCACAAGCAAATTGAATTAAGATTACCACACAAGGATTTCAAAGCATTTGCGGAGAAGTCAAACAAGCTTTAGTTTATTATTATTATTGCGTCAGAGCGAAAAGTTTCAGCCACTCGGCGGTGGTCAGGGGATGTGGGGGGCTGCTTGTGGGTTGGAAATTTTTCAATCGCAATCTTATGGTTTATTTCTTTTGCTCCAAAGCTACTTTATTTTGACAGCAGACAAACAAATGTCAGAATTGAAATTAAAAGGAAGGCAGCGACAGGCAGCCGCAGCAGTCAGTGGAAAACTTGTGAAAAACACGCCCAACTCAAAGCAGTAGACGAAGGTTTTTCCAAAAAGGGGGCTGGGTGTGGCCACCACAGTACGCACAGTCCCAATCAGAAACTCCGGATCCGGACTTTGGCTCCAACTCCGACACCGACTCCGGCTCCATTTCGATTCCATCACCACCCACACGCAGTGCTTGGCTGACTTTCCTGCATTCCCGTGTTTTCTTTTTGTACACTTCACACAGCGTGAAATTTTCTAAATGTCATTTTGCTGTCATCTCGTGGATAATAAGATTACAACTACGCTGAAATAATAGGATTCAAATGAAAAAACTTTGCCGTCGTCGTCTGTCTCCTTGCGCTTCTCAACTTTCAATACGCGCCACACCTCGCCGCCCCCAGATATATATATACGTATATCTGAATCAGAATCTCATGGCTCTTGGCTTTAGCATTGGCTTTGGCTTGGGATCTGCCACCTGGAATGGGATGGGACGCAGTGGAAAGTTTTTGATAGAGTGCCGCGATAATGAGTGAGCAGCCACAACCCCAACTCCCAAACTCCAAGTCCGTCTACGATTTTAACTCGAGCGACCTACGATCTCGAGACCACTTGAGGCGTCCCTGTCTGTACCACGTCTGCGTGCTATTTGTATAATTGATTCGATTCCGCCGGCCGGAGAAGGCGGTTTAATGAACCATGCTTTCATAGCGACCATAACTTCGGATTGTCTACCTGGCCGCAGGCCACAAATAGACGAAAGCACTCGCCAAGATGGCAAAAAAGAAAAAAGAAGTAGCCCCAGCTAGACCAAAGGGAATCACAAAATTACAAAACAAAACACAAAACCAAAACAAAAATCAAAACCCATCAGCTGGGCTTAGATGGATCACTGCCCGGGGCCATAAAGAGAAACCGGCTTCTATTGACCGCGAACGCGGGTATAAAAGCAGCGATCAAATCCCAGACCGGCATCAGAACTTCCCCAAACGTTCTAGCAAGTCATAGTTATTCTCAATATGAACTCCTACTTTGTGATTGCTTTGAGTGCTTTCTTTGTGGCTCTGGCTGTTGCCTCGGTAAGTTTGCACCTGAGTTAAGGAAGTTAAAAGGAATTGTGAATTCCTTTCCTCTTAAAATAAGTTTGAGTCTGACCTTATCTTCGAAAAAATAAAATATAACTTCTTAGATCATCATAAGCTATCAAACGTTTCTTACTCCAAACGTTTTATTTTAACAAAATATTTTTATTTTAGCCCATTGAACTGAACGAGGACCAGAAGGCTTTGGCCAAGCAGCATGGTGAGCAGTGCGCTGCCGAACTGAATCTGACCGAAGACGAGAAGGCCAAGGTCAAGGCCAAGGACTTCAAGAACCCCACCGAGAACATCAAGTGCTTCGCCAACTGCTTCTTCGAGAAGGTCGGAACCCTGAAGGACGGAGAGCTGCAGGAGTCCGTTGTCCTGGAGAAACTGGGCGCCTTCATCGGCGAGGAGAAGACCAAGGCCGCTCTGGAGAAGTGCAGATCCATCAAGGGCGAGAACAAGTGCGAAACCGCCGTGAAGCTGCACGAATGCTTCGAGTCCTTCAAGCCCGCCGCCGAGGTTAAGGCCTAAGGACGAACAGGAGTTGAAGTTTGGCAAATTGTGATTCATTTAAGACAAAAATAATTTTAACATTTGTATGCTACACTCGAATATATGCTTTGTCAAATTAACCCACCATTGTTGTTTTATTACTCTATTTTGATTCGCCATGAGAGAAAAAAACTAAAAAGAAAATTACAAAATGTATTTTTTTTTATTAAATTTACTCAAAATTCAAGTAGGGAGAGAAACCAAAAATCTGTTTTTTTTTAATTCTAACTTTTAGGTGACAAAAATAGATTTTTGTTTTAAACTTATAAATGGTTGATTTTCCAAGTTGATGCCTTTGAAAAATAAGTTCAGTGTGCATCAGAAGAGGAAGCCAAAATTTGCCGCTGGTTAATGGCGGATTTCGGGCCCTGGGTTGCGTAAGCCGCTTATAATCCATATTCATGCGTGTGCCAGGTCATTCGGCGTTTTCAATTTGCATAATTAAATGAAACCACCCAACAGGACGATTAACCGTTGTGTGCTTTGAACACTTAAAATTACTTTATTACTTTAAGCGGGATGCTGATTGGGTGGGTCACCGCTTAGGCAGAAATTCCCTTGACCACACATTTTTCGTAGTTGTAGACAAAGTCACAGGTATTGGTCGATTTGGTGGCTGCACAGCTTGTGAGAAGAGCCTTTAGTTTGTCGATGGGCATGCTGCTAAAGCGGATCTGGGCGAACTTCAAGATTTTGTCGGCATTGGGCTTTCCATCGTCTCCGAGGAGTCCGAGTTTCTTGTAGACACAACTATGATAGCACTTCACCGACTCCGAGGGATTTGCGACCTCCTTATCCGCGGTCAGCAAATTGGCATCGCCAGCAGCAATATTGAGCTCCTTGATGCAAGCCTGTTGCATTTGCTTGTATGCTGCAACTTCGGCAGCAGTCTGACCCTGTTTAAAATAAAAAAAATAATAAAAATGATAATTTATCTTTAAAACACAATATGTTTACAACACTCACCGCTGTCAGTTCGCTCAAAGCGAAAATGAGGAATACTACCACCAAACAGTTAAAGTTCATCTTTACAAAGCTATCAACTCTGTCTAACTGAATTCAGATCAAACAAGTGCTGCTTAAATACTTTTAAAATTTGTAGACTCTTCTCTAACAATTAAGTTATTAATTTTATTAAAATTCAATTATTCATAATTTAAAATTTTTGAGTTGTTATACCAATTGGCTGTTTTTAAATTTCGGACGCTGGCTGTGTTAAATCATCCCCTCCTCAACTGATCATTCGGGTCAGTGAGCTTTAACTTTGCCTTTATTTACTTTACTTTGTTATTTGTTTTGCCCAGTGTGGTCTTTGTTTCCAGATTTTATTAATTTTATGTCAGGGCAATTCAAATAGCATATAGCTTTTTTAGTTGTTTAATTTTATTTAAAATAAGTGTGTTTATATATATATTTTTATTTGGTTATTGCTTCTGTTTATGTCTTTGTGTTTATGTTTCAAATTATTAAATGTATCTTAACTAAGTAAGCATTATTCCATTTTAATATACATTTTTACATAAACAAAGTTGTTTTACTGAGCCTAAAACTATACCTTAAAAATTTTAAATATCCGTTAAAAAAGTTTGAGCCCAATGATTGGCTTTATGTTTTATTAACCGTTTTTGAACTTAAGAGATTTAAAAGCTAATATAATAACATTTTTATAATAAATTATTTTATATATTCAAGTCTTTTAACCAATATTTTGTCTATTGTTCAAGACACAAATTTGGTTTATAGTTTAAGAGTCTCTAAAATAACACCAATTTACAGTTTGAATATTTTTTTACACACACATTCGTTTAATTACTGTGTTTTTGTTAAAGCAGACACCAATAAGAAATGGTTAACAAGTATATATAGTTAGCTACTCCGATTTGGTGGTGGTCACCGCTTCGCCGGAGTGCTGGATGCCGTCGATGAAGTCGGTGCCATCCGGACCAAGTCCCTCGCTCTCCGCCTCCGTCTTCTCGAGAATCTCCCGGATGCGCTGCTCCGCCTCCAGGGTCTTTAGGTGATTGTAGCACAAGTGCAACTTGTAGGCCGCCTCGCACCGAGTCTTGCCCTGCAGGTCACTACACTCCTTTATCTCGGCCTTCTCGTGCTGGATGATCGTCTGCACCTGGGTCTTAAAGGCCTCCTCCAGCAGGACATTGTATCTGTCCAGATCCAGGGTCTCGTACAGGCAACTCACGAAACACTGCAGGGGCTCATTGTTCTTCAAATCGAGAAACGGCATCTGCGAGTTGCCATTGAAGTCCAGATCGCCCAGGTTATTGACATCGCCGATGGATTGCACTGGCGATGGAGCCACATCGTTCTCGTTGTTGTAGTCACTGTTCAGCAGGCTCATGTGGAAGAGCTTCAGCTGCGACATCGAGATCTCAGTCTTTCGCATACAGGACCTCAGCATATCCTGGCTGAGCTTGGTCTCTGTCCCATTTGGTGGATCTGGGACCAGGGTTCGGGTCATCGACATGTTAAGCGAGACGGTCATTGAACGGGTCTATAAATCAAAAGAGCATCAACCACCTTACATTTTGTGAACATCAAACAACCAAATCCAAAATAAATTTAAAACTAATTTTTAAGGAATATTAACACATCTTAAAATATTCAAATTATAAAATTTGCCTTTAACATTTTGAAATAAATTGAAAGAAAAATATTTAACAATCTTAAATACTTGGTAGACTATAGAAAATGAAGTCTACTTTGTATTTTTATTCAAAAAATTTTTAGGATTCAAAATTTAACAGTTATTATTATTGAACTTCGAGTATTGTCATATTGTTGAATGAATGAAATAATTGAAAAAGCTGGACAAAACATTACCCATGCCACTGGCAAAAGATCACTGAGAATCAGGCAAAGCCATGGCAGCAAATTGGCTTGAATATGCATCTAAAGAACACTTAAGAAATGTGTATTAGTCAAATTTAAAATACTTCTGGACTATAAAGCCTGTTTCGGCTTAACAGACCGCTTTTATAGAAATAACTTTACAGATCATATCTCCTTTTTAATTGCTATTTAATTGGTCTTCAAATCGAACAACAAATCATTTTTATGCCTGACTGGATGCTTTCATTCCAGATGCAGAGCACATAATTCGTCATGCATCAATGCATTGCCAAAAGCATTTTGAGGTGAGAACCCAAATTAGCATTGGCCAAAAACATTCATTTGCCATATACGTATGTTATGCACGTTTAATGGACTCTATAATTACGCAAAAAAAAAATGGCTGGGAAAAAACAAGCCAAGCTCAATTTGGTCGATGAATCTACAAAACATTTAAGTGCCTATCCATAAATCTGTATTAAAAAGCGGTCAGGCAATGGTCTGACTAAGGTATATTTTTTATTGTTTCCAAATTTAATTATAATAATCATTGTAATTATTGACTAATTTGCTTAATAATGAACATTTTTTATAAAAAGATTTAAAAAAAACTGAAAAAAACGTTTACAATCTTAAATTTTAAATAGATTCTAGAAAATAAATTTTACAAAATAGAGCTGAAAACCAAAGTAAGTTATATGATTTTGTATAGCAAGACCGACCAATCGACCATCATTTCTGTAAAAGAGTTTATATCTCTATTTCCTGTCAGTTCTATTTACCAATAACCAATTCAATCACATTAGTTTCAACCACACCAACTGGTTTACTTTAACTCCAACTTTCTGTAGCCCTCTCTAATTGACGGACTTAATAACAGTCTTACTCTGATAATCAAGAACACGACCGCAACATCCCCGACCACATCTCATATTGCTCTTTAAGATCAAAGAAACTCCACATGGACGGACGGACAAAAAGCGAGAAACACCGAACCATGAAACAAGACAGTGGCAGCCACCCCGCAGCGTAGTTTTTATAAAATTAAATTACATTAATGTGAGAACCGCAGGCAGATACCCCATCGGCCCATCCAAGTCAAAGCATCGGGAATCAACCCCAGCCCAGGCCACATCCTTACTCCTTGGCCGCCATTGAAAGCCAACTAACAGGAGCGAGACAAGTCAAACAAGGCGGCCAAGACAAAGGCGCTGGATGTCGATGTGCTTCTATGTCTCGGTCCATCGCACGCGTGTTGTTTTCTTTGACAAGCCGCCATGGCTGTCTACTTAAATGCATTAGCCCAAGTGGGGGTGGAATCCGGCGATTGGGCTGCCCTTTTAATAGACATTAGTAAACGCATCAGTGATTGCTGGCAAGGCTCGTGGGCAGACAACTGCAACTGAAACGGATGCTAAATGGAAGTGACATGACAGTCCCTAGCAGGCCAGACCAGACCAGACCACATCAGATCAGACCAGACTGTCCCCAGGAAGTGACGAAATGAATTATGGACGCCAAGTCCACCCGGGCTACGCTTCAAAGTCCCCAAAGTCAAAGCAATTGTCCCTTATGTGCCACCTGGCCCAAGCTTAACTCGTAAATGCAATTGCGACACGTGCTCAATAAATGTTTAATGATTTGTTAATTGGATTTGGGCTTTTAAAAACACGGTACCTTGTGTCCAACTCATTTGCTCAGCCCTCACGCATTCATCCCAGCATTCAGGATTCAGAATTCGGGATCCAGGTCTTTGTGCGCATAAGTTTGCCGTCGCTCATCAATATTTATGCCAAACATGAGCGGCCAAATGCTTCTGGGATCGGTGCTCTGGCCAAGGACTTAAGCCCCTGACGACGGTCTGACATTGGGCCTTAATGATGGCCCACTGTTATGCAAATGGGTGCGTGGCCACCACGCAAATGGGTCATACAGTGGAGCATCTCATCCATTGACAAGTCGAATATGCATAAGTAATTATGTATAAATATTTCGCTCTTAATTTCCACTGAGATACAAAAAGGAGAGTTGGCTGTGAGGGGTTGACAAAGTTAGAAAAGTTACTTGATTCAAAAGTTCGTGTAAAGTTCATAGACTTCAAGAAGGTAGTGTTTCGGAACCGTTAAAACTGATACATTCTGTTTATACAATAAAATGTGTTTTCCATACATTTCACCTTTTTACTTATTTATTTTCCTATTGCAGTGTTTGGTCAGCTTTTCGGTGTTCTGATTCCATTTCTGCAAATAATATTTTCATATATATGTCATTCATTTAACATTTTTAACCCACTGCTTTATTTACCTAGAAAAGACATTGCAAGACAGAAAACAACAATTTAGTTTAGTTCAAAATAAACATTTTTGTAATGCAAATTTATTTTTGTAAATTTTATTATATAAATAAAATGTATCCCTTTGTTCTTTCATACTAAATAAGAAATGGCTGCAAAAGTAAGATGTTAACTATTACTGCTTTAGCACTTTACAATTTTTTTTTTTTAATTTAGATTAACTCGGGTGTAAGATTAAGCCTCATATTAATTTCTCAAAAAAACATTATCGCCAAAAATACAATTTAATATTTATACAAGAATTTTCCAGAAGGCTTAACATTGGATTATAGGGATTAACATTGGATATATGTACTTGGTTTTGACAAACTAAATAACAAGTTCACATACAGATTATCACATGTAATAATAAATTCGCCAGTTGTGGGCTTAGATTTGGGCGCGGTTATTGTGGTAGCACTGGAATAGCTGATAGGCGGTATCGCACTTATCCGACCCCTTAATACCATCGCACTTGGCTTGAACTGCCTTCACAGTGTCCTCACCGCCCAGAGGGCCCAACTTGGCCAGAACAACAGCGGGCTGCACCTGTCCATCGATCAGGAATCCGGTCTTCTCCAGGAAACAGTTGGCGAAGCACTTCACCTTGGGATCGGTGTCCGAGAAGTCTCCTGCCTTTAGGGCAGTGGCCTGCTCCTTGGTGATTCCCTCCTGCTGGATACAAAGAGCTCCATTGGCCTGGGCCACCGCCCTCTGCTCATCCGATAGCTGCAGCTCCTATGCAACACAATCAAATTATATTTTCAGTACTATATCGCCACAGATCAGTTGAGTTTACTCACGGCAGCAGTGAAGGCCAAAACGGCGGTCAGAACGATCAGAAACTTCATGGTGGAGATGTAGTTGGAAACCCTTTGGTATCGGTACTGTTGGCTTTATTCTCTCAACACCTGGCTTATATACGATTTTGAATGCAGCTTCGCTAGAGTTTTGTTTTGATTATCTCGTTTTGTTTTCGCTCTACTCCGCTGATCACATGGTATACGTAATTAAATATACACTCGGCCATATATCGGTTAGTTTATTTAAATCGCCGTTTTTATGAATCTCGGTGTTTTGTTGTTGGTTCATGCCCTCTCCGGCTCTGACTCACTTTTTTGTGCCATTTCGGTTTAAAGTTCACTCAATACTCGGCTCAGCAAACGAAACAAGTCCATTGCTACTTCCATTGTGTCGATAATTGGCTTTAATGCCCCAGAATCGAGCTCATTATAATTTGGTTTCTATAATGTAAGTGCTAATTGCAATTACAGATTTTCCACCGATTAAAAAGTGATGTTCTTCCCAAGGGTCGAAGTGCTCAGCGAAGCATCAACGTCAACCAATTTGGCTTAACAATACTCGTAACTCCCAAAACCTTAAACTTGAATCACGATTTTACGTTAGTTTTTATGAAGGTGTTAAAAAAATGTGCAGCCAAAGCATGAGTGGGCAGTTTTTATGTGCTATAAAAAGGTAAAAAAAAATGGTTCTCTCTCCATTAAAAATAGATAGGTGTCTAGAGAATTAAATAAATCGTCAAAGAAAAGTAATTGCAATATTTGTAGCTTAAACCTACTTCATGGGATCACAGATTTGACCTCTCTGAAACTGATAAGCTTGTGTTTCATCTAAAAAAAAAAACATATATTTACTTCTTTGTTACAAACAAATTTAAGCCAAAGTCGATCTTACACTTGCAATTAATTTCCTAGTCTCTTAAATTAAAAACTCATTTTGTTGTAAGTTCCTTATTGAAATTACGTCCGAAGTAAACCTTTAATTACATATATGAAATAATTGCTGTCTGATGATAGTTTTGATTCATCAAACCTGTTCTTACTTTATAACATTTTCTCTCACATCTCTCTTTTTTTCTAGTTTGTTTTGGCCAAAGTTTGAAGTCAAGTGCCGGTATCAAAGTCTAAAAAATCCAAACGAGTCACAAAATCTCAAGTCCACGCGGTGAATCTGAACTGGTTTGCTGATTAATTTGCAGCACAGATATGTCTGCTGCTGATAAATAATTAAAGTGACATTCGGATGATTGGCTGATGTATGTAGATTTATGCATAAGTTTTAAGCGGAACCGTTTAAGTGGCCCAACTACCCAAATTATGGTAATAGAGGCTGTTAGCAAAGTTGATGCTTACGTGCCACAACTTTTGATCATATATTTTATCAATATTTATTGCTGACAGCATCGATAATTCATGACCTACTCAAACTGTGCACCAGTGCCTGGGCTCCGACAAAACTTACCGGAGTAAACTCGTAAATAGTTACGCACGCCAGGCAAAACAAAATGTCAGAGCGATTATTGCGGCCCATCGTCGCCTGCCATAGCAGGCCATAGCAGAAGTAAAATATTTAAATAGTAATAAATTCATAATGTCATCGTGTATATTGCTACGGCTCCTATCGGGCGGGATCCTCCCAACGATTTATAGACAATAATAACTGCAAACACGAAGCAGCGGGTGACTCCTCAAGTAGTTTGATTCCAGTTCAAGGAGCTGGAGTAGAGCTGCCCCCAGCTTTTTTTACCTGCTGCAAAAGTTCGCTGTCCCTAAAAGTTGCCGTAGAAGAAAGGAATAAAATTGTTTTATCGCAGACATGATAGAACGGGAGGGGCTGTCGCATGTGGCTCATATATAATATGTATATATATAAATATTAAATACTATATGGCATGCTATAAAAATATAAACAGCACATAAAACGACAATGAAAAACAATGGCACACGTTATTATGTGCCCGA